CCCTACACCACAGAGTATTCCCAGTCCTGGCTGGTGCAAGTGGAAGCTGAAATGTGAGCTGCTCAGTGCAGAGCTCAGGCTTTTCCAGGAAGGACCGGGGGAGTGCCTTGGGTTTTTGGGAGGCTGCGTGGGTGTGCATATTAAACCGGAATTCTGCTGTGCTTGGCTACCTCGGGGACTAGTTCTAATCACTGGGCAAATGTGCTGTGTGTAGGAGAAATAAGTCCTGGCTGGTGCAAGTGGAAGCTGAAATGTGAGCTGCTCAGTGCAGAGCTCAGGCTTTTCCAGGAAGGACCGGGGGAGTGCCTTGGGTTTTTGGGAGGCTGCGTGGGTGTGCATATTAAACCGGAATTCTGCTGTGCTTGGCTACCTCGGGGACTAGTTCTAATCACTGGGCAAATGTGCTGTGTGTAGGAGAAATACTTAATTTCATGAAATTAGTTGCATTGTGCTGGATGCTGGAGTGGGATTGGGAAGGAGCCGGCAGTGGGAAGCAGGAGGCAGAGCTTGGCAGAGGCAGCGATGGCTCGGAACAAACTCCGCCTCGCTGCTCCGAGGGAGGCTTTGGGGATGAGGAGGTGGAGGGCTGGGGCTGCCCAGCTTTTGGGGTTTGACAGCGCACCTGGAGTGCAGAACCACCACCAGGGATCTGCTGAAGGGAATCAGAGAATCCTGGAGTCCTGGAACGGACCATAATCATCCCATCCCACCCCCTGCCACGGGCAGGGACACCTTCCACTAGCCCAGGTTGCTCCAAGCCCTGTCCAACCTGTCCTGGAACACTTCCAGGGATGGGGCAGCCACAGCTTCTCTGAGCAACCTGTGCCAGTGCTTCCCAGGGAAGAATTTCTCCCTAATATCCCATCTAACCCTGCCCTCTGGCAGTTTGAATCTATCCCCCCCTCCTTGTCCTGTCAAATTAAACCTCAAAAGTCAGGGCGTGGGAGGGTGTGGAGTGGCAAATACCTCGAGCTGAAGGGGAAGGAATGATTTGGTTTCCGAACGTGAACAACAAACCTGCCAGAGCAGTCACAGTCGCCAAGGGAAAAAACATTTGGCTGAGGAAAAGCGTTTGTAAAGCTGCTACTGAAGGAAGTGTGAGAAGAAACGTTTGGAAAGCCTCTGCCTCGGTGATTTTCCAGAAGAGCTGCACTAGCAGCAAAGCAGTTCTGAGCTTTGAGGGCTTGGAAGGCTGCTCAGCTCAATTGGATGCACCATTTCATCATGGAATGATTTGAGCTGGGAGAGACCTTAAAGATCATTTCACTCCACCCCACACCTTCCACTTCTGCCCTCAAATCCTCTGGTTACTGCATAAGACAGGAAAAGTGAAATGGCCCCTCCTGGATCCTAGTTTTTACCATCCCTAAAACCTCAGGGATTTAGAGAAAGCATGTCCTTTCCCCTTTGTGAACCACCTGGCTCTGTCCTGGAGAGCCCCAGCTCCCCAGGAACCCCTTCCCCAGTGCACAGGAGGTGTTGTTGGGAGCTCTCCATCATCCCCCCTGGCTTGTCTGGAGCATTTAGAAGCCAAGAAGTTGCCAAAGCAAGTTTGATTCAGCTGCTGTTCCTTGACTCCGTCTGTGGCTCTCTGTAAATCACTAACAGATAATAATTCCATGCTCTGGCTCTGCATGTCCCCTGCGTGCTGAATAATTACCTTGTTTTGTGCGAGCCCTGAGAGGTTTTCACAGATAATTCATCCAGCAGGGAAAGGCAGCCAGATCTGGGGCTTGGAGTACATTTTCTGGCCACCTGGCATTGCTGCACAGAGGTCTGCAGCTGCCTCCGGAGGGAAGTGCTGTATCCAGGACAGCCGAGGGCAGGGCTGGGAACCAAACCCAGCTGAAATCCCAGCAGCTCTTCCTCAAGGGATAATTTTGCTTGGCAAACTCAGCCCACCCTGAATTTCTGGATGTGTGGACAGATTGAGCCCACAGATCTGGATGCTCTCACCCACAGAGAGGCCGTTTCACTGGAAGCAGAATTCGTCCTGGGAGCTGTTTGTGGCAGTGAGCTCCATCTCAGCTTGTTCCCTGTGTCCTGCATGGTGCTGGTTGGGTGAGTTGAAGACCAGTGTGGAGCTGGGATCACCCCAAGGTTCCCATCCCCATCCCAGAGGTGAGTTGATGTGGGGTAGGAGGAGAAGGGACCATCCCTCTGGCAGCTTATCTTGGTAGCTCCCAGAACCAGGGGAATTGCTGGTGTCACTGAGGGGCTTCAATCACAGAATAATTAAGGTTGGAAAAGACCACCAAGATCATCAAGCCCAACCTGTGACCCATCACTACCTTGTCAACTAGACCAGAGCATCAAGTACCACATCCAGTCATGTCTTGAACACCTCCAGGGATGGTAAGTCCACCACCTCCCTGGGCAGCCCCTTCCGATGCCTAACAATCCCTTCCATGAATGAGACAATGTCACAGCCCTGTCCTACAGCCTCCACCACCCTGATGGAGAGCATCTTCAATGTGGAGCATCACCATCTCCATTTCATCATAATCAGGGATGTTGTCGAGGTAGAAGCAACAATTAGGGTCACTCACCTGGGAGGTGATGACTTTGACAACTCTTCGTTGAGCATCTTCATGGATCAGTTGTTAAAGAAGCATCAGGCAGGACAAATGAGCTGTTTGGAGGCTCAGGAAAGACTCTGAGGTGGCCAAACAGGCTCCCACCTCCAGCATGAGACCCACCACCAGCTTGGAATGCTTCCAAAGGGATTGGTGTGCAGGCAGACATCACCTGTGCATGGTTTGAACACCTGAGCACCAAAGCATTGATTGGCAGATGCCAAGAAGGTGGAGTTGTACAAGCAGGAGACCCTGAAGGTAGCAGAGGGCACAAGAAATACAGAGTAGAGGACAGGGTGCAGGACTGGAAGGTGGACACCAAGGGTTGCCACTAGTCTTGAGCTCAGGAGACATCCTGAATCACTTCACCCTGTAGCCCAAGAAGAACTTGGGGTTCTCAAGGGTGTGTATGGGAGGTGGGTGCCAAATCCTCTCAGCTTCCACGCTCTGGGCAGTGCTCACTCCCTTAAAGCACCAACCTCACAGCTGCTATTTCACCATCAAGGCACTAAATCTGGGGAGTTTCCTGCTGGTCTGAAGGCAAAAGTGCCTCTTCCAAAGGAAACCTTAAATGCAGACCTTCAGGCCAGCTCTGCTTCCAATAAATAGCAGGATTCAGAGTGGTTGTGCTTTGCTGTGCTCTGCAAGTCCTGGAGCCACTCTGAGGTTTGGGTATCCAGGGAAGTCTGGAGGTCAGAGCTCAGCTGGGCTGGGAGCCAGAACCCACGCCTGGCTCTGCAAACAGCAAACCTCCCTTCAGGTATATCCTTTCTTATATTCTCCTTCTTCAAATATAATAAAGGGATCTTTTTTTTTCCAAGTTCCCAGCCATCCTGTACTACCTTCACTCAGGGCTGCTCTATCCTAATGTCATAAATGCAGGATTTCAGCCTCCTGCTAAATGCTGCATGAGAGTACAAAGCCTCCAGCCCTCAAAGCCACCTGTGTGTTCAGCAGCAAATTCAGGACATCAGCTATCCAAAGGGAGCCTGAAAGTCATGGATCCCTGAAAGTCAAAGCTTGTTTTATTGACTGCAGTCAAGAGAACCAAAGATCTGGAGACCTGGACTCCCATGGAACAAACCATATTATTCCTGTGCAGTGATCATTCCTCTCCCAGACGTGAATTCTGCTCAGCTTCCCTGCTGAGAATGATTAAAGATTCTTTCAGCAATCAGCAAATTGTCAAATAAGCAGGTGGGCAAGTAAAACAAAACAAGGGAGTATGATGATCTTCCACTCTCCAGTGGGAGCAGACACATTGCCTACATGGAAGTGCAGCTCCCTGGGTACAAAACTGGGATTGTAGCTATGGGGGATGTCACCTCAACTACCAAAACTCCATTTGGGGGGAAGGTACAGCCTGTGCAGATGCAGATACAAGCCAGGGGCGACTTTTCCCCTCTCCTAGACTCATGTCCCCAGCTCTCTGCTGCTAACTGGGCTCAGACTGGGAAGGCAAACTTCTGGGGGTGGCACTGAAAACTCTGGGGTTAGGGCACATGTGACCCAAACAGGGCTGAGCACAGGGTGAAACTCACCACACAGAGCTGCAGAAGCACAGCAAGGGCTGTGGGGGGAGGTGTCTGGGCTGGCCCTGGCTGAAGACACCTCACCATGGCACACAATCACTCCTATAGCTTTTTATTGCCAAACTACTTCTCCAGAGGGCTGGGAGCATCCTCCAACCTCCTGGCTGAGCTGCCCCAATACCACCTCATATCACACATCCCTCTGACAGCCCCACATCCATCTGGAGCTGCCCAAGGGGACACGGAGGGAGCATCAGGCCAGGATGGGGAAGGAGGCAGCAGTGGCCACACCACAGTTGTTGTCCTTCATGGCCATGAGGATGTAGACATCGTTGGCCCAGTATGTGGACCAGGAGTTCTTGATGAGCCAGTAGCTCCTGCCGTGCAGGACCCCATAGCCCACGGCCAGCACTGCATGGTCCAGAGCTGATGTCTCATTTCCTGGATGGAAGAGAGAAGGAAACAGCTAATTGAGTCCCTCCCTTGGAGCTGGAGGTTGTCCCCAGTGCAGAGAATGGCTCCGTTTTCCCTATCTGGGAGCTTAACATGGAGCTAAATCATAGAATCATCATGTTTTGAAGAGCCCTTTAAGATCAAGTCCAATCATTAACCTGACACTGCTGTAACTCCTAAACCAAATCCTCCAGCACCACATCAAGACACCTCTAAAACACCTCCAGGACTGGTGACTGCACCGCCTCCCTGAGCAATATTCCAGTGCCTGAACACCCTAATAGGGGAAATATTTTTCCTAACATCTCCTCGGGCTCTGCCCTGTCTCAGCTTCATTCCCTCTAGTCCTCTCCCTGCAGATATGGCAGAAGAGACCATTCCCCATATCTCTCCAACCATTTCAGGTAGTTGTAGAGAGCCAAGAAGTCACCCCTGAGCCTCTTTCTCAAGACTAAACAAACCCATCACCAAATCCCATCCTGCCAATATTTTT